TGTGTGTGTATGTATGTATGTATGTATGCATGTGTGCATGGTAGCATTGTGTGTATAGCAGAATACCATGCATGCAGTATCTATATATATAGTGGCCTAATAGCTAAGGCACTGGCTTCCTAAGCCAGGGATTGTGGGTTCAAGGCCCACCTGGGGTGAGAAGTTAGCAGAGTGGCGCAGCGGAAGCGTGCTGGGCCCATAACCCAGAGGTCGATGGATCGAAACCATCCTCTGCTAATTCTGGTCTGTTTTGGCAGTGGTGGCTGAAAGGTTAAGGCTCTGGGTTACTGATCAGAAGGTCACGGGTTCAAGTCCCAGCACTGTCATGCTGCTGCTGTTGGGCACTTGAGCAAGGCCCTTAACCACATCTGCTCCAGGGGCACTGTATCATGGCTGACCCTGCGCTCTGACCCCAGCTTCCTAGCAAGCTGGGATATGTGAAAAACTGCATTTCATTGGCTCTGTACTCGTACTCTGTGCAATGACAATAAAGTTGAATCTAATCTAATGTAATACATATACACATGTGTGTATATCTATCTATCTATCTATCTATCTATCTATCTATCTATCTATCTATATATATATATATATATATATATATATATATATATATATATATATATATATATATCTTGTTATTGTCATTGGAGTAACTGGCTAATAACTGGCTAATAGCTCTATAACATACGTTAATTGGCTAGTGTTACACTGATGGGTTGTCACTGAAGTAGCTAATGTATATAGCAAAAATAACCATGTAGCTTGGTAGTTAGGTAATATTCCATATAAAATGAAAATAAATAAAACAAGGCTAGTGTTACACTGTTTGGTTTTTATTGAAGCAGCTAAATATAGATGATGAAATAAGCATCTAGCTTGGTAGCTACTGCCTACATAATCTACATAGCTAGTTCAACAGTATAACTTGGATAGAGTCATAGAGAGTCCTGAGGGGACTTGAAAGCAGGGACTGTGACAATCAACATACAGAACAAGAGTGAAGCAAAATAGGAAGTACATAGGAAGTGCTCCTGGTTTTTCTGAACAGGAACTTAATTGCACCTCCTCACGTCCTTTCCTTGTTGCCTGCAAGGAAAGGAAACAAGGACATGAGGAGTCAAGGACAAACATATCTACCCAATGAGAAGTTTTTGCTCACTGAAGCATCACACTAAAGCAAAATCGCTTATTGAAGTGTTGCACAGGGCTTCACAAGTCTGCATATACACAAAATGGTGTGATATACTGAATAAACATCACTCAAAACAGTACTGCACATGTGCATCACACACTTAAATGTTTTTTTTTTACTCTATACAAAATTCCACTATAACTTCTCATATGCTATGCTATTTAAAGTCAGGCACATTTTTATTTACTTTTATATCCCATGCTTATGTCATACACTACAATAAAACAAAGACTACTGCATAGGAAGCACTGAGAGCATTATAAAGAGTTGATACATCCTTCAAAATGGCAGGCTTCGACTGGTTTCTGGGTTATGAGCTGAAGGATATACACTATATTGCCAAAAGTATGTGGACACCTGACCATCACACCCATATGAGGGTCTTCCCCAAACTGTAAACATTCTATTGTATAGAATGTATAAAATCTAGTGGAAAGCCTTCCCAGAAGAGTGGAGGTTATTATAAGGTTATTATAAGGTATATAGGTTTTAATGCCTGGCTTACTTTAACCTCTTAAATTCCCAGGACTTTCAAAGTCTTAGTCTCTCCTATTAGTTTCACTGTATAATTACTGAATAATATGCTTAAAGATTAATAAGTGAGTAATAAACCGGGAGTGTAACAGGTTAATCAGCTAAGCTGACTTGACAATATTAAACCAATCCACATCACAATGTCCACTTTGATTTTTGTCTCATGGATAGTACAGAGAGCTACCCAGGAATAGCACATAGCTAATAGAGTATTGTCAACAGAATAATGTCAAGGATTGTAGAAATTGTAGAAACTATAATTTAAACCCAGAGGCCTCCAGATTTACTCCCTACTGCAGGTGAAGCTATAAAAGGTAACCCTCTATCGTTAATGCAGACTGGGTGAAAAGATATTTATCTTCCCCCATTTCACCCCTTTAATGAAGATATCACCTGCTGCAATATTACCTTCACTTGGCTAATGTCATTCCCCAGTAAAAAATAAACGTGTTACTCTTTTACTGCCCCAGACCTGTCCACAAAAATAAGTGCTGCAGTTCAAGTGGCTCTTCTGTAAACATATCTCATGTGTCTGCAACAAATCATGAGCTTACAGACTATTATAACAGCTTCCATAACAAATCTTTTACATTAAATCAAATGACATATTGCTATTCTACACAGAGTCACTCAGAGGTTAGCTATTATAAACACTTCCTTAAATTGCCTCAATTATAGGTCAAGGTCAGGACTACTGCATAAACCCAAATGAAATACAGAAATACAGAAGAGAGTTCTCATTACCACTTTCTGTTATTAGTCAACTTCAGTGTTCACTTAAAAAACGTCTAAAATGAAATCATATCACCACTTTTAGTTAACTTTAGTCTCCATTTTCTCATCTATTTAAGTTTTGCCGAGGATATCTAAATGATGTTTTCATTCTATAATCATTTATTAAGTTATATAGAAAAAAAGGTGAAATCGTGTATAAAAGGCACTATGATATGAAAAGAAATAAAAATAAATCTTTCAATCCATTTTTAATATTATTATTATTATTATTAATAATAATAATAATAATAATAATAATAATAATAATAATTATTATTATTATTATTATCTGACTGTAGTTATAATAATTATTAATTATATTAATTATCACTGTTATTAATGTATTATTATTAGTTAATTACTTATTAATTATTATATATTATTACAGTTATGCATGGATTGTCTGTATCATTATTTTAGTTACTCCTGTTCTTCACTTCGGCACTGAATAGTTCATAATTCCAACCTCCTGCATCACTGCCATAGTCCAAAGATGACACATTGCAACACCAACCCCAAGAGCTGCTGGGGTTTCAGGCCAGTAGTTCTGTTAAACATCATTAAAATAGAAAAAAATAAATTTTTTGGTGGAGAAGAGGAGAGGCAGGAGTCCATGTAAGCATTTATATAGTCAGACAGCATGGTGTTCTGGAGGATCGATAACGGTCCAGAGACATTAGCGTGCGTGGATTGCATAAACAGCTCAGAGGCAGCCCAGACATGAAGGCCAGTTTGTGTCTATATCTGCCTTTGTACTGAGACATCTGCTTTCACTGCTCTCAAATGTGCCAAAGTCAAGAGGCCTGGAATATTAATGTTCCCCCGGTGATTCTATCACGATTTTTCACAAGAAAAAAAAAATCATATCGGTTTGATTATTCTGTGCATAAACAGACTTGCTGACCCTGGTCATGTGTGTGCTGGGGTAGTGGTTTCTCACCGTATATGGCAAGCTAAACAGAAACACACAGGATTATGACCCTGGACCATTTACTCAAAGTGACTGCCTTGTTTACGTTAGTGTCCTTGACAGTTTTATTTTTCTTGCTGTAATATATTAGCATGATGGGATGGCTGTAGTGGCGCACAGCTGCACTGAATACCAAGTCTCAATCCGGAAAATTTATGACACATTACAGTGTTGGGTTAACCTCCAAACCAGCTATATTACACTGAGCTGTGATTGTGACAAAGACTTTAAGGGTTAATACTCTATGTACTGAAAGGAATGAATCCAGGAAAATATTCCTCTTTTTCTTTCTAAGGGACACATCAGAGTGCATTTAAATGGAAGGGCCATTTTAGTTATGGAGGAGTAAATTGTAGGACATATAAACACTCTTCAGAGTTTCCCTAAATTGGTGTGTAATACTACCATGTTCTAAGGTGTGACACTTAAGTTTGAAAGCATGATTTGAGACTGATCTCATTTATTACCTTTATTTTATTTTAGCCAATTTCCACCTGTTAGTTGAGTCCCTCTCACAGCTATCGAAGTAATGGTGAGCATATTGGTCCCTGACCACCTGCCGCATCTTTCTGAACTGCTATAATGTCACAGCATAGCTGAATGTGTTTAGAGGAAAGCACTATCTGCCCTATTGCTCACAGATGTCTGCAATCAACTAGCATCAATCCAATGATAGATGAGAGAGAAATATCATCTTTACCACCCAAACAGAAGGACAATATTGCTCTCTTGGTATTCCAAGCATGGATAGCTGTGGTATTGTTGGGCTTTGGCCAGAATTCCTCTCCAAACACATGCCAGTGGGAGTAAGCTTCTCTGCATGACTGAACCAATTGGAAGATGTCATTTTCATTAACTTCTATTCATTTTCAGACATTTTTCCAATCTAGATAAATTGGACAAATTTATCATTTGATCTACAAGCTTGGCAGTTGCTTCATATCTTCAAAATAAGCATTTCTCTAGGACAGTGGGAAAGTCATAAACTAATGACTAATGACTATGGTGTTTGCAAAAGAAGGTCTCACATATTTGTTTACCAGACTAGCAAGAACTGTTTGATCATCCTGATTAAATAATATAGTGAATTTATCCTCTCAACGCTTTTATATACAGAGCTGCTTTAAAGACCTTAAAGACCTGTTAAAGACTTTAAAGACCTTAAAGACCTGTTTTCTTGCACAATCTCAATAATAATTTCATAAGAGGCCAACCAGGAGGTGATGCACTTGGCTTCAAACCTTGCCAATTGAAAACAGCCTAACCCTAATGAGGGCAAAATAATGTTTACAGTATTTAATTTTTATAGTACTCTTTAACAATAGACATTTTCCCAAAAAAAAAAAAAAAAAAAAAACTTTGGAGAAATTCAGGCCAGAACCCTAACAAGGCTAAATGTAGCAAAGTAAAAACTTCCCAGCAGAGTATAAATATTGATTTTAGTATTCTGCAGCCCATTTTCTCTTTACTCTACTGTTGGAGTTGGGTTTGGTATTGAACAGATAAACACTCCCTAGCGGAGCTGACATACTGATTTTAAGTCTACTAGACATCACATGATTTCATGTGTCACCTCACCTTTTTAGCTCTGCTTACTTTTCAGTTTGCCCTTTAAACAAACATGCCAGATCTACAGATGTTCTCCATCAGCCTCAATTAAACCATAAAATAAACAAAAGGAAACAATTACTGTAAATGAAGTAATAATCACCAGCATGGCATCGTCTACAGGGACATTTACCCACCTGAGTTGTCTGAGTGTTTATGCTCCACACTCATTGGACTAATGCAACAGCTCATAAGAGGGATGTGATAAACAAAAGTCTACATACAATTACCTCCATAGAGAGTAA